AGAGTGTGTGGTAGAAGCAACTGACTTGAAAATGGATAGGGACCTGTGCATGCACATATAAAATACAAAAAGCCTGAAGAGATTATAAAAGGATCCAAGAAAAATGTTTAGCAGACAGAAATTGTTAGGGAAAAGGTTGTATTCTATGTCTAGCCACGTTACATTAATGATAAAGTAGCAGAAATGTGCTATGTGAGAGAGGAAGACCTGGCTGAAAGATATTTTAATATATCGCCTAAACAGAAAGTTAGATTTAATAAGAGATGCTGCTAGATGATGATATGATCAAAGGAGAGCATAAATGTCTGAACCAAGAATTACACCCACCCGTTGACTTCCTTAGCCAAGTCCATTTGGATTTAAGAAAAAATAAAAATGGGTGAAGTAAAATCACAGGAAACTGCTGTAAAGCTTGAGGGCAGGATAAGAAAGCATACCAGGAAGCAAGGCAGATAAGAAAGGCTTGTGAAAAAGGGCTAAAATGCCGTTTTGGGGGATCTCAAGTACAGTGACATTGACCGACATAGCAGTATTAGAATTGCTAAGGAAGGGTGCTTGTTCCTGAAGGGTAGTGCATAGGACTGTCTTCTCCCTCAGTTTGTACAGAAAGAAAGATCAGAAGCTGTTCTGGATGTAGCCCCAGGAAGTAGATCTGGTATGATAAATAAATTTGGTGAATATCCAGGGTTTAGTGAAAATAATAACCTCAGATAGAAAATATTCCATAGATTGTGTGAGAAAATGCAAAAGCAGTGGACTGAAAAGTAGACAGAAGCACTAAGAATACAAAATGACCTTCAAAAAGCTGGCTGAAATCCATGATTGTATCAAAACCTTTTGCAGAAAAGAAGTTTCATGAGAAAAGGAGGCATAGACCAGTGGTACGGCACTTACTGCAGGTTTGTGTCCCAGAATGTCCTTCTGACCTCGGGGAAGATGCTTCATCTCCCTGGGCCTCAGCTTTCTATATGTACATTTAGAATGACAGCACTGTCCTACAACTCAAAAATGACTGAGAAATATTCAATTCCTGCAGTAATACCTACACCTTGAAGAATGAGCACCGTGACCTTTTAGAGACAGTGAAGTTATCTGTCAGACAGGGTGGGGAGAGAGGTTTTCTGCAGAAGAATGGGGAAATTGGAAGAAAAATACTATATAGGAAAGAAAATGTTAACAGTAACATTTAAGCTCTTTTAGATCAGTGTTAATAGGGAAAAGCAAAAGAACAGCTCCTTATGCTTAGAAGTAGTAGTGGAATAAAAGTGAAAAATAAGATACAGTGTGTAAAGGTGTGTTATGAAAAGTAATGCAGAAATTTCTGACCTTCTAAAAGGTAAAAGGTATTAAACCCTTTGTGCATCCTACATATGATTTGCTATAAACGAAGCAGTTGCTTAAGAGGTCAGAATGCAGAGACAATCAATGAGGAATTAAAAAGCAGGTAACACTAACAGCAACACAATCACCAAAATATCTAAGACTCTTAAAACTGGCAAACCATCTAGAAGACTATACACAAGAGTGTAAGGGATAGTGAAAACATGAATGAAAGAATTGTGAACAGGACTTTTCCACGTTCATGATGATCTGTAGAGAAACCTGAAGAGAGGTGGGAATCAAGATGATGATATTATTTGTAAAAGACTTTGGGGATACTGCAGAATCAGCTTCTTTGATATGTATTTGTCCTCAGGCTCTGGAATGGGCTGCCCAGGGAGGTGGTCGAGTCCCCATCCTTGGAGGTATTTAAAAGAAGGATAGATGAGGTGCTTAGGGATATGGTTTAGTGGTGGGATGGCAGGGTTAGGTTAACGGTTGGACTCGATGATCTTAAAGGTCTTTTCCAACCAAAGCGATTCTATGATTCTATGATTCTATTCTGAGCAAGAAGGATGAAACTGGGCAATATAAAATAATGGGTTAGCTAGAGATGGATGGAATTGCTGGCAATATCCAAAACATTGAAAAAACATTCTAAAATATTGATAAGTAAAGTTTCTTTTTAAAAAAAAAAAAGTTTGTACAAAACTCCAGCACTTTGAAGGGTACTACAAGTGTCTACTCTGCTAAGAAAGTTGGGGATGGGGTTCTAAAAATCAGTACTTCGAGATAATGAAACAGATGCAGGATTTTATTTTTTTTTAAATAAGCAAAGCTACAAAGAGAACACAGTTGGAGTCCTTACTAATAGAATTGATTTATATTATTTACACTTCCCACAATTTGTTTTTCAAATTCTGCTTTTGCTGCAAAAAGAGAAAAAGGGAATACTGTTGAGAGTCGAGTATGTTTTTATCATAATCAGGCTATCTGAAGACATAAAGTAGATTAAAGGAGGGCCAGGCCTGTTCACTGTATATACTGGTTGCCAGCAAAGAAGTGTTAAATACGGGTAACGGGACAATGTAATGCTGTCACTCTGCTTGTGGGTATATAATAATACTACTACTATAAATTAATAATCATAATAATTGTAATAAATCCAGGAGTACAGCAGAGAAAAAAATATGTAAGCCTAAACTCTTGCCCTCTTCAGAAGAACTAATCTGCACTAGGGTCAGTAACCGAATGAGAGCAAGAACCAGCAGACGCCAGCAGTCTAATAGGGGAATAGGGTAAAGTGTGGCAGTTTGAGGGCTGCAGTTACCAGCAAGCATTATGCTGAGGGGAGACCACTGCTCAGAGAGGTTGGGGGGACTCTGTGTATTATCTGTGCTCAGCCCACCATGCCTCCGTGGGCAGCTTGTAGGATGAGTGTTCTTCTGGTGCACCCTAGCTCCAAGTTGCTGCTAAAAGGATGACTTTTGCTTAAAAAGAGATCACAACACAAATTTGTATCCTCCATTGATCTAGAACAATGACTTAAAGGAAGAGGGGCAGAATTAAATAAATGCTATCTAAAGATCCAAAGTCGGGGAGACATATATTTTAGGAGATCTGATCTGGTCTATGACTACACCAGCATCCACTTTTAGTAAAATGAGACACTTAAGTTATATAAACTTCCTGAGTGTATATGCAAGATTAGAAGAGACACATTTAGCATTTTTTATTCCAGTTAAACCCCCATTGGAAACTGTGAAGGAGAATTAATAACTAATCATAAGATAATTCTGAATTTTTGCATCGTGGATTTATCTATGGGATTGGTAGGATGTGTATATATTTTGGAAGGTATGTTTCAGGACACGTTTGAAGATCACAGTATACAAGAATATTTGAAATTATTTTACCAAGCAATTGATGCATTTTTTAACTATGTGGTATTGAAGATTATTATGTTAGATGCTAAAAAGAGATGAAGCTGCAAGAAGTGGTAATTAGCTGTTTTATGAAAAAGGTTCATTCATGCACTCTACTTGTGGTTTTCAGTAGACGGAATACTTTGCAAAATCCAACAAGCATGAAGATACTAAAATTTCTCCACTATTTAAAAGTTTTTCCTTATTGTTCCCTGAAAGATAGGTAAGGTTTGCCTTTGAGGCATCTTCTATTCCTGTCAGACTTCTTTTATGTTTGAATCTAGTACAGAAGGAAGGTGTCAAAAGAAATGAAACTCTACTGGGTGTCTAGGGAATGTAAATATTTCTCTTTCTCTGCCCCAAGGACTTGTTTGCCCATATTTTGACAGTCCATGAAATCTTTGACACTGAGACCTGTCAAATATTAACAACTTTGCACTGTGCCAAACTGACTCATCATTTACACTTTTCTTTTTTTTTTCAACTTTGATGTCGATCACTCAATCAAAAAATAAAATAATAATAATAAAAAAATTCAAGCCCCCAACCTGAAGAACTTTAAATGAGACTCTTTCTGACATCTTTCTCACCTGCATGGCTTTTTCCTGTGTACTTTCTATATTAATAGATACTTCTGTCAGAAATCAAGATTAACACCCATCTGTTCTATAACCGCTGACCTGTTGCTCTGGGTCATATTTTATGCAGAAAACGGTATTGTTAAATCAGCATAATTAACTTGAAAAAGCCAAAGTAGGTCATTAACTGCCACTCATATTTTTAAGAACTTTTTTCAACTGATTAATCACTGCTCTGAGGTCAGAAACCTCAGAATTATTTTTTATCAGAAAAAAAATAATTTCTTCTATGCTTAAGTGTAATAAAGTGAAGAGTACATATTACTATTCTTGATGTTCTAATTTTACTCGATACTCAGGACAGAAACCTACAACATTGACATGGCAGAAGAACGATTTAAAGATTTAGGTAAAAACTGAAAGCTTTGTAACTTTCTCATTTTGTGATAACCCTATGGTATTTTGATAAATCTTATTTTAAACCAACATTGTATGCATGTATAGCGAAACACATTGTAGGTGTTTACAACACACAATTTTTGGTTTTTTATCACACACACACATACACTCTCATGCTCAAAACCAGACAAAGTATAACCTACATCTTGATTTGACATGTCCCAGTAAGGCCGTTCTCCATAAGACATTACTTCCCACATCACTATTCCGTAACTCCACACATCACTGGCCGATGTAAATTTGCGGTACTGGATGGCCTCTGGAGCTGTCCATCTCACTGGAATTTTTCCACCCTATGAAAAAAAAAGGAAAGAGAAAGTTCTGGGTTTTTTCTCCACAAAATTTCCATATCATCTTCTGTAGGCTGCATTTATAATTACTTCCATCAACATCAAAAGAGGCACTTATATGGTCCACTATAGTTGAACGATTGCAGAATTTTCAAAGGAGTCAAAGGAAGTTTAAGCACTTAAAACATTTGGACTACAGAAACTTAGACACCTGTCTAAGCTAAGTTGCATGCATTTCTCTGGAAGCGCTTATCTCTCCATTGATTTTAAGGGGCTCCTTAGATGTCTGATTTACTCTAGTCATTTAACTCCTGGCTGGCTGAAGCTAGGTGAGGGGAATCTCATCCTGTGCATACAAATCCCATTGATTCATCATATGGCTCCTCTGAAATCTTGCTCTGACATTTTAAAACCAGGATCCCACTTAGAGCCCAGCAGCAGGATTGACAGCCATGAACACCAGTGTGGTTTCCTGGATCCCTGCGCCTGTCGGAGCAGATTCCAGGGGCCCCTCCTTCCCTCAGCATGAGAAAATAGGTACAGCGAGGCCCCACGGGTGGGAAAGTAGAGCTGGCTCAACAAAAGAATAAAGAGCATAGTGTGCCCGATGAATGCTTGTTTAAGAAAAGCATCCCACCCAAAAGCAAGGGAAAATACAGAAGTTGAGCTTTGTCACAGTCTAGCCTCAAGCTAGTCAACTTTTTGGTGAGATAAAATCTAGTTTGAAAAATAGTAATAGCCTACAAATATTTTAATTAACTCATAGTAAATGAGATGATTAAAATCTTTATGGGTAGAACTTCCATATTTTTTCAAACAGAAAATCATGGGGAAGTCAATAATGAAGATAATGTGCAAATTCTTTAGTACTTTACCAAATAAAAATGTATGTTCTTACAAAACTATCAGTCCCTAATTGGAGCCAGATTTCTGCAGAGACTCTTTTCCTTTTGACTGGTTAACGTTTCTCAAGCAATTAATGTGTTTCTCTTAACTATACTCTCTAGAAGATACCCTGCTTCTTAATAATCACATCTCAAAACTACTAAAACCCATCGATTTCTCTTACGGTAGTAGTGTAGACAGCCTCTGGATCATCCTCTATAACTCTGGAAAGGCCAAAGTCTGACACTTTACAAACAAGGTTGCTGTTGACAAGAATATTGCGTGCTGCAAGATCCCTGTGTACATATCCCATATCGGCCAAATATCTCATTCCAGCAGCAATTCCTCTCAACATTCCCACTAGCTGAATGACTGTAAATTGCCCATCATGTTTCTGGAGGGAAGAAAGGAGCAGCAATTCTTGTTAGTATAGCTGAGAAGAGAAATAAGAATTAGTTTTACAACTTTAGCTTTCTACTTATTTACTACTTCTGTGGCAATTCATCCTGGAGCAAAGAAACTCACTTCAAACACAAGTTTTATTTTCTTCAAAGATAAAGCAGTACATCCAGTTAAGAAATGTGTGAGTGGATAATCTACTAGAAGCAACAGAACTTGCTAATCACTATAAATTTCTGGCTAAGTCATGGCAAGTCTCTTCTAAGAGAGATTACCTGATGCACAGCTCCTTATAGTTTGCCTCTATGCTCTTCATCTCTCAGCATAAAGATTTGTATCAAGAAAATAAGAACTACCTCCTTTTAGAACACTAGCTACTGATAATTTTATGCATAGCTTGGAGTTTATCAAACAAACATAATCTTTCTCTTCTCTATAGAGTGTTTATACATCATTTCACACTGTCCTGTACACCTGGTAAGGAATCAGAACTGGCCAGTTCAGAACACACACTCAAAAAATGCTAAATTATTGTGAACTTGCATTTCTTTTTCCTTTGTTCTCTTAAACATGACCATAGTTCATTTAGGGACTCTTGTATGCTGATTTCCACCATGCTGACACAATAAAATTCTGCTCCCAGAAAGCAGAAGATTGGGCTTCAGGTATCAGTGATTTTAACTTCAGCTGGTGGCAATAATAAAACCCACCATGTCTATGCCACATTAAATCACTTAAATTCCTAGAATGTTCCCATGTGATCCTGTCTGATCCTCTCATTTCTGATCTGGTTTTGCTGAAATAATGTAGAGAACTGCTAGTGTTTGTCAAGCTCCATTTCAGCCTGAAAACCATTTTAAATATATGAATATCATGCATGTATACATATATATATATGCACATATATTGTGCCATATTTTAAAAAATGTCAATATATAATATAACATATATTGTATATATTACTTAAAATACATTTATATATGTTTTCGTTTTGGTACTCACCCTAAGAAATGCATCTAAGGCCCCATTCTCCATGTATTCTATTACAATCATGACTGGTTTCCCTGAAAGAAGACAGATTTTGTTTGAGAAACTGTAACATAAATGGAGTGCCTTTTTTGATAAAACGCATGTTATTCCTTTGAAGGACTGAATCATTGAGACAACGAACATTTGTGAGGCCTCCAGCACTGTTACTGAGCTCTAATAAGTTCTTAAATGTCTGCATGGAACGTGGTCATGATTCACAAAATTAAACCATACAAATCAAAACGTCAGTGTGTTCTCCTAACTCCTGCTGTGTGGACAGGACTCTCGAATAATGACACTTCAGATAATATGAAAGGACATAAGAAACCTTATCTCTCTGCATGGACTTTGAGGCTAAGTTAAACTAGAAAAATAATATATTTCAAAGTACTTCATGTTTTAATCATGCATGCATCTTAATTTTTTTCCTCAGGTTGTAGCACAAAGTAAGTATTGTTTTAGTTAGTTACGCATCAGGAGAAAATCCATTAGGAGTGTGGAGCCGGTTTATAATTTGAATCTTTGACCATGAGTAAGCTGAAGTAATTTTTGCCATTATGTTGTTATCTGACTGACAGATCGAGCCACTGCTTACCTCTGGTAACGACCCCTTCTAAGTGAACAACATTGGGGTGGTCAAACTGTCCCATGATGCTTGCTTCACACAGGAAATCTCTCCTTTGCTTTTCAGTGTAGCCAACTTTCAGAGTTTTTATGGCTACTGCAACATCTCTCTTGCCAGGAAGCTTTAGACGTCCACTGCACACTTCACCAAACTCTCCTAAAAGGAAGCAGATCAACGCTGAACTACTCTGACTAGGATGTTGATATTCTTTTTAGGCCTTGAGTCAACTAGCCGTCTAAGTGTGGGTTCAAATTTAACATGTGAATGTTCGTATTTGAAATGGATTACTTAGGGACACAAAGACAGGCACGTGCTTTAAATGAATTGCTGACAAAGTACCTCACGGAGTAAACATTTCACGTTAAGCCAATCTACAGGACTGTTATTTGAGTCTTTTAAAAGACTTGTTAGTAATTTGTTATATTTTTTTCAAAAATAAGAAATAAAAATGAAGTAGCTTTCATAAGAAAATACTATTACAGAAATAGTAATACCATTTCTAAGTGAAAATGTCATTTTGTTCTACATGGGCTCCCCGCTATCTTTAGATTTGATGGGTTTTTTTCTTTCAAAAGGCAGCTCTTTCAGAGCTGCTTTTAATTTAACATCGTTATGGTGTTAAATGAAGCACTACACTATTACCTTCAAGCAGGATAATTTACTTTGCAGATTATGAAATGAAAGGTGTGACTTATAATAATTTTGTTACATTAAACAAACACAAGCAAATGCTAAAAGTTTGTAAAAGGATTCTAAACTAACAGACAATTGGAACTTGAAGAAGCATGTGAAAAAAATGGCCAAACAGCCAGCAAGAATACTAAAAAAAAGTCTCGACAACCATAATTTGGGAGAGAAGTAATTGGACTCCATCGGACAGGAAAGAGGATGGAAGCATGCGAGATGTGGAGCTGAATGGCAAAACATCTAGCTCACTATTATTGAGACTGTGAAAGATGTAAGGATTGTACCTTGCCTCACAGCCGTGTCAGCAAGAGAGAAAGAGAGACCCCCTATTCCGTAGTGAGGAAGAAAAATCTCCTGGGATATATAGGAGAAAAGGGTAGCAACATATCTTATGCTGAATAAAGGGGAACATCTCTTTGCAAAGAGAAAGATTAATTGCAAAAATATTTAATAAACTGGTACTTTGCAAATTTATCTGGAGTATGGGAGATATAGATCCAAGTGCCTTCTGCAAATCAAATCAAGTCTGAAATTTATCTCCTGCATACCTGTGGAGTGCCTTAACATTAAGCTATTGAGTATACACAAGTATGCAGACACACCTACATCCAAGACATGTTTTAAGGTGAGTGCTGAAAAAAATGATTGAATTATGAAAGACTACCACAGAGAGTTTGATTAGAGAATCCCTTTGGGACATAGGCTGAGGTCTTATTTGAGCAAATCTCCACTCAGCACAGCTGGTTTTACAAACCTCATAGGAGATGAGTGCATACAGAATCGAATGCCTCTTCAGCTTCTACCCTAGCTGAATTAAGGTTAGCTCCAATCAACTCCATGTACCTCTCTTAACACCGTGCTGTACCTGAGCTAACTGGCCAGGTACAACTGCTCCTTGGGTGCTGGAGTTGTGGTCTGAATATCCATCTCATAGCTATGAATACCATAATGCATAGCTGTTAGATACATAACAACTAGCTGTTCATGCCCTTATCTTGGTGCCTTAACCTCCCTCCTGCACTTCATTAGCAATACAGAGGACTATTAATGAATTCCACTAATCTCACTCACAGCTCCTTGCCACATGAACTTACTAGGGATAACAATTTTCTCTAGCAGTACCTTCCAAGACTGTTTTTGTTGCATGCGGAAAACAAGACGTGAGTATAAGTGTGTGTGTGTGTATGTGATACTTCAGAGCCAGGTAATTAGGATACTTGGCATGGGAGACACTAAGGCTTAACTCCCTTCCAGCTCTCTGTGATCTGATTTTGATCGATTTCCAAAAGCAGATCACTCACACTCAGGCAAACCAGAAACTCGAACTTCTGTGTTATTCTTCTATGCATTTCAGACCAGGATGCTAGCCAATGAACTACTTTTATTCCCAAGAAAATAGTATATTCAGCTGAAATGATGCCCCAAAAGGATCCAGAAAATATGACAACAAGAGTAGAATGCTGCACAGGCGCACAGCCACTAGCTCAGCATGTCAACAAGGAAGAGGCTGAAACAAAGAATGTGCGGTATGAACAAGGGCTCAACATAGTGGACACCATATTCTGTATCTGACAGGTGGCCACAGCGGGATGGTAATGAAAATGTTGGCAAGGAAAGCACATATCCCTCATGCAAATTGAGCACAAGCATACTTGCACCCTCTTTGTCTGAGAGAGACATGGCACTACTCAGTGGCTGATGTGGCCAGCATTGCTGATGAGTATTGAGACTGCTAAGTGGCTTTTCTGGTGCTGTCACTAGTAGAAATTTTATATTCTTCTTTGATGTATGAGCTTCAGCTGCTTCTTTGGGTCTTTAACATTCTATTGTTCCTGGACTGCATTTCATTTCACTCCTATTTGCTATCTACATCAACAGGTTAAAGTCATAGCTAAACCCCATACACAATATGCTTTCACCACAGCACTTCTAATTAACTTTCTTCAGAATGACTACTAACACATGTTATTTTTTTTGCTATCAGTTATAGTCATTAAAATCAAGAATAAATTCATCTGCAGTCAACAAAATTAACATTCTGGAATTACTCTGTCATAACAGTGAAAATACATTTTAAACTGTATACTCTTTGCAACTGAAGCATTTTCAGCATTTTCCTCAGAAAGCATCAGCAAAGTCGAACCGAATATATCTTTGTGCTCTGAACTGTGTTATGCTGGTAGTTTTTTAACTCAAAGCCAAAGATAAAGCTCAGTAGTTTTTCTGTGCTAATCTTGAATTTAAGTCTTGTATATTGTGTATTTATTAGAAGAGATGCTGCCATTCTAGCATCACAAAAATTATTAGTTAGCAAGGGCTGGATTCTTATGCTCTTACTCATCTGAAGGAATAATTAGCTCAGCAGTGTTGTTAATTTCAGTGGTACTACTCCTCGATTAAGACATGATTCAACATGAGTGAGGTTACTTTAAAGAGGCATTGTGAGTTCTAAGTGTAGAGATATTTCTTCTTCTCTTTTTAAATAATACCACAGTATGTAATTTACAGTGCATGCCAAACTACAGGGTGATTTAAAAAGTATTCTACTAATACTTTTATAAAACAACAGGAAAGCAAAAGAACATTTCCTCCAGGAATCCAAAGTATTTGATATTTTTCTTACCCACGGAAACTTAATTTCACGACATGGAGTAGTGCAATAAAAATGTCACATATCTTATTAATGTAAACAAATGAAACTGCCTTTTTAGAGCATGAACACCATGGCTTAAGTAGGTGGTAGACAGTTCAAGAGGAAGAAAAGCAATGTAATGCTGGTGCAATTACAATCAGTCATGAGAAGTTAAACAATAACTTTTTGTATTCATAAAATATCAAAAAGAAAAATGGTAGAACAAAAAACAGCCTTAGGGAAGATTTTGTTATACAGAAACAAGTCCTTTCTAGTCTCTATTTAAGACTTGGTGCTGCAGCCAGTTTTCCTTACTCACATGAACAAAAATTCAGAGGTCAAAAAGCCCTCTTGCAAAAGGAAAGCAAGCAGAATTTGCACTCATGCCTAACGCCTTTACTCTGACAGTAAATAATAGGCAGCAAAACTGGCCCCCTCCCCCTGATTACATTTTTTATAGCAGATACAGAATTAGAAACCCACAAGCTTTCAATGCCAAGCAAGACTCTTAATTCACTTATTTATTTAGGTTTTTGTTGTTGCCCCCCCTGCCCCCCCTGCCCCGGTTTGTTTTTACATTTTAGAAGCAAGTGCAGCTTCATTGCTCCTAACCACTCTGGCAAATGCAAAAAGTTCTTCTATACTTGAGGTATAATTATTTGCCTGTCATTATGATGTATGAGTTTCGATCCTGGCTAAATGGAACAGTTGAATCAGGAAGCCACGGCAGCCTTACCTGCACCAATCACACGCTCAATTTTAATACAAGAGGCATCTAGCTCCTTGGCGAATTGATGGACAGCTCTATTTGGGTCCTCGTAGGTTTCAGGGTCAATGTAGGTTTTGGTGCCTGGAAATTTAACTGTAATGATGTAAGAAAGCATGACTATGATGAAGCAAAGGCACTTATTGTGCAGTCAGCCCAGGAATTTCATTATGCAGAGTGCTCCTTGGAAGACTGAACCTGCTTCCACACTGCCTGAGTCAGAGCTGTTTGGAGAGGCAACCTTAGTTTTAGGCATCATCTGCAAGCATGCTGACACAAGTACACAATCCCACCTCTAAAAATGACTAACATAAGCACCTGCGTCTCCACCTTGACGTGAAAGAAGTAATAAATATTAAATAGTGCTCAATGGAATAAAATGCAAGGGTTGAGTGGGAGCAAAAATAAAGCAGGGTTAGTGGTATAAGAGCAGCAGAGGAGGTAAATCTTTCTTTTCTGTGTAAGGACAGCTTATCCTCTTTTCCCAGGTTGCGTAAACAGCACTTCTTTATGTTATCTCTGTCTTCTAGTGGGATTTGAAGGGCTCCTCTACCTACTTCAATTTGCTTAAACTATTGAATATACTATTATTTACAGACTGTGGCAATAGCCAAGCTAAACTATTCACGGCACTTAGAATGTATATCCTTAGGTATGTTTCTTGTACTAGAATACAAACAAGAGAAACACTTGTAGTCATCTTGTAAAGTCACAGAAAGGGAAAGTGGGCTCTGTGGCACAATTACTCCCTTTCTCAAGCACCTAAGTGAAAATTATGCAGCAACTTGGTTTCTGCTCCCTCTTTCTCCAGTATAGCACTTGGTGAAACTCAGGTAGTGTAGCGCTCTGGCCAGCAGGTAGTTTTTCCCCTTAGTTTGCTGCTGATTCAGGAAAATTATTATTTGCCCTTCTGGTGAAAGTAGAACAACCCTGGAAATCTATTAGCCAAGCAATTCTTTAGGCTCACAAGGATTACAGTCCTGAGCTTTAATTAAATCAGTGAATTAAAACTCAATATGAAAATGCAAGAATGTTCCTCTGCTAATTGATATACTGATACACAAGAATAGGGTCAAAAGTCAATACAAAACATAAATAATTTATGGTTGCTTTGTAATTTTTCAATTGAACATGAAATATATTAAATTTGAAAATAGCTTAATGATCACATGTATTTATGTTTCAGATGGTATTACTGACCAAAAAAACCCCAACCTTCATTAAAAAAAAAAAAACTAGAGAAATTGTTTGAGGAATATAATGGATTTACATCCAGAGAAATTATTTGAAATTTTGCCCAGATGTTATTATCTGCCATACTGTGTATTTAAATAGATGTTCTTCCAATTGTAATGATAATGCTACAATTTTTTTAAATGATAAATATTTATTTCTTAAAACCAAAAAGGACCAGGGAAATGAAAAGGAAGCAATAGGTTAACCTCCTATAATAGTGCTTTCATGAAGGGAGATGGAGACAGAGCCATCCCCTTGTGTTTGTGATAAGGGGCCTGGATTGGATGTAACCTTGCAAATCTCAAATGGGCCTCTGATGCTTCTTTATTCAAGCTGTCATAAAACATTTTGACAGGCCAAGGCTATCCTGGCATACCAACGTGAAATAGTGTTGGCCTGGATTTGAAGACATTGTTAGAAGAAAATGGTAGGAGGAAACCAAATATAAATCTGAATTGCTTGATTAAACTCCTCCATTGTACTTGTATGTTTAAGTGTAGCACTTGAGGTCACAGAGAGTTGAGGGGGACTGAAATGAAATATATGATACTCTATTACATACAGTGCTTTAAAACCTGCTTTAAAAAATGGTTACTTGCAAGTTTTTGTGTTAAGTAAGTGTTTGCTGTAAGTTATATTTTTGAAAACCCAGTCTGGTACCTCAGCAAAGAAGAGGGTCTAGATGCTATGGAGCGAAAAGACATGAAACTGGTGTTCATAGCTCCGTGAGCAAGCTGGTGACCACACAACTGGGTTCTGTCTCAGTGAAAAACTAGCTTGGCAAAGAGTGGCTTATATGTGGTGCTATGATTTTAAAAAGACTGTGTACGCTAACTGTTCTGGCTGATTTGCTGGATAACCAAATTTCTTGAAAGTAAAATGAGGGACATGAGCACTTATAAAGTCTCACCATTTCTGGATCAACTATAAATCATTAGATAGGAGTTTTCATATTAATTCATTTAGACTTTCACTGAAACAAAATATGTCACAGAGAACGGAGATGAGTAAAGGAATTATTTAGCTAGCATATACCTTTGTTTATGTACTGAAATACAAGAATACACAGCCGATCGTTTCCTTCAAGGACATAATGGGGATTTTAAAAGTGAAAGCAGTAGCTCTTCTGAAGATGTGAAAAGCTTATAATGCATCTAGGAGAGGCAAATTTCAAATCCATCACTACCAGAACAGTAACATTCAAGCAGCATCAGATTTTTGATGAATTCTTTAAAATCAGGTACACTGCAAAGTGCATAATAAATAATACTTATCCCATTATTATTATTTTCCACCTTTCTCACACAGATTATTAATTGATTGACTAAAGCCGCAATGATGTCACTGCTTAGTTTAATACTCACTGCATTTAAACAAAATTATGTAGGTAGCAACACACTCAAACTCAGGGACCATGAACAAATACCAGCTGATCTGATTTTTTCAGGGCAGAAAGGTGAAACAGAAACCTTGATCTTATTTTGAGTGGAACTTGTGCTAAAACTACTTGTTTAAAGAAGTGTGCTTTAGGAAGATGCTACAAATTTGTGACTAGTGGCTATTTCATTCTCCATGTGACATTACATTCCGATAATAGCTCATGATTTTAACATACCTAAAACAAGAAAAAACATATTTTTTTCATAAAAAAAAAATCTAATGGATTTAAGCTACAGCTGCAATTATTGGTAGACAAGAAAGGCTACATACAGCACAGCATGACTAAATGGCAAGTTCTATTGATACAAGAGTTATCAAGTATGGGAGATGACTGGAAACCCAGGCATTGTTTTGTGTCAGAACTTATATTCAGTTTAATTCTATTATGTGATTTTGCAATTTTGGATGCTCGAAATCAATTTGCTACTTATTTTTTCCTATACTTCCTTAGTTAATGACAGATTCTAAAAGAAATTTAAACATTTTTAATTTCTCATGTCAAAACGATACTACAACTGAAATACAAAAGGGCTAAAATAAGAAAGTTTTTTAAACAATATTTTGATAAAACTGAAACTATAAGTTTGCATAAGACTTTCTCTCCCCTTAAATTTTCAGTTGTCATTAACCTGAGAAAGATGTATTTTACTGAATTTTCCCAGGGTTCTAGCATAAGTTCAGATGGTAGCTGTGATTTTAACAAAACAGGTTTTAGGTGCTACTCTTAGCTAGGCAAGTGATTCTAGAACAGAGAACAGTAAAGAAGTAGCTGACCTTTTTTTTCATAGTAAATATTCTGTTTTTAAGGACATAGGTTTTGTAAATATTGATGCTACAGTATTCACAGTAGCAGAAAACAGCTTTTGAGCAGAACGGCTTCATTGTTAGGGTGATGCAGTGACCCACACTTTCTTTATCTGAAGTTTGCCTGAGGTAACGATCTTACAGTCATTTAGCCAAAGGTCTCTCAAATACTGCACCTCAGAGGGATCATTAGGATGGTGTGAAACATGTATTCAAAGCAACCAAAGGAAAAAAAAAATGCAGAATGAAAACAACAGTATATCATACACATGTATAGAAATAAAACCGTCTGTGTGAGCCATGTTGACTTTAATGTGCATTCTTTTTGCGTAGGTCACATATTTACAGTGTTTAACTTCCCACTTGCTATTTACACAGCATTTTTTAATTTCTTATGGCTTTGTCTTTCATAGAGTGTTGTGTTACTCTGGTCTACACTATTGCAGTTGGGAGGTTTTGAAAGGGGAAAAAAAAAGCAAAACACTTACAATGAAAGTAAAGCTCTTCATCCCCTTCTTGATCAGCTTTGCTATAGCCACAGTGCCTGAAAAGAAAGAAAGACGCCCGTTTTACTGGTAAATAATGATTTACTTCCTCACATCTAAAGTCCTGACAACATCAGTTCTGCAGGTTGGGATTTTCAGGCACTGAGCACCTAACTCCTGTAGGCCCTTTGAAAGTTTCAGCTGTAATTCTCTTGACAGCAGAGTTTTAAATAAATCATGAACAGTTGCAATCAAAAGGCTTTTGTATCAAATACCAGTTGGGACAGGTCCTAAAGAGAAAATTCTAGTTCTGGTGAAAAGCTTCTACAGATAAAACAGAGGATTAAAGAACTTGAAAGTAGAACACAGTTTTACATGAGGGTATTCTTAAATTTACTGCTGTGCCTCTTTTGCGTGAATGTAAAGTCGTTTAAAGGCTGATCAGATAAAGTGTCAGACTTCTCCACGTGAGAAAACTGAACAGAAAGAGGGACTTTGAGGAGTACAGGTAAAGAACCTGCTGGGGGTTCCTTTTACAGCACATTTACATAGGACAAAAAGAACATCTTGATTTAAGTGTGTTCTGCCAAAGTAAAAGGACAAACTGTATAATTGATAACGGGATTTAAATGAAAATTGTCCTTTCTAAGAAAGACATTTTGCAAATTACCATCCTGGATTAGACTATGTCTCAGGAATTCACAAGAGTGGGGTCAGATGTGCGTATGTCTATGCAAGGTACACTACCTCCGCCCAATGATGAATCCAAACACCATGAAGACCAGAATGATGGTTCCTGCCACAGCAACCACAGCTATGATAATAACAGGATTCTGTTCACTGGAAACAGCCGTGGCTACAAACAGAGCACAGAGCAGAGATTATTTAAAATTATTGCCACAAAGGATCTGCAAAAAATTAACCTTCATGAATTGAAGACTGTTAGTTTACCTTTTCAGTTGCCTGAAATTATTAAATTGATAAAGTTAGTCTAAAGAAGGGACTCCACTGGAAATTCATCCAAATGCTGGATGAGTCTACAGGGAATAAAAAAGAGCTATGCCGGAACTGACTTGGTCAAAGTGGTACAGGCATTAGCTGAAAGCCAGCACCAGCCAATTCCACTCCCTCCTACTGCTGTGCTGCCTTCTGTTTTGCTCAGTGGTTGTCTCCTTCCTAAAAGGGAAGACCTGGATATCCCTGTAAGGGGGGACAGTAGGGCAGAGCTCTGCCCCTAGCCTCCCTCCCTAAAACTGGTTGGTATGACTTTGATGGTACCCAAGGAAATAGTGTCTTAACTATAAGAAGAATGTTTGAGATGAAACACTATTAACACAGATTTCCTAGTTAGCATATTTTTATCTCTTACTGCTATTAATCACTGTAAATCGCTATTATTACTTACCATTTGTTTCTGTTAGCAACAAAAAGGTGCTTCCACAAATACAAAATGGAATTCTCCATGCTTCAGAGAATTTATGTGCTAAAATATCCACACATTATCGCTCTTTTTATTCAGATATGCCAATGCTATTAATATATGCAAACATATGCATGTCACATTAATGTAAACTGAGGATGTAAATACTTAGCCTGAGAAACCTCAAGGTTTGTTAAATACATTGCTTGCCTGACATCTAATGAGGGTGGCCGTATACTCAGTCGCATTAAATGAGTATAGCTCTACTTAATTCTGCGGAGCTATGCTGGTTTGTAACAGGGAGGATCTAGCCCAACAGACTGAGAATAAAGGAGGACACATCAGGCCGTGATGCTGCGCAAGGGACCGTGAAAGTGTGAGTCGTTTGGAAGCAGCAGAGAGATAAAAGAGGGGAAAAAAAAAGGAAGCTCAACTGATAGCTGATTAACTAAATTGTAGATGGTATGTTAATATGGTTAACTGCTGGTAGTAGCAACTGAACAGGAATCAGGTCCCTGAAGTTGCAGACTTCAGAGGTTCCCATAGAAACAAATAAACCAGTCTTTTCTGTGCTCTGTCTTGGGAGAAGTGTGCCAATCAACATGATTTATTTGTCACTGACACTGACCTGTACCAGCTGCTTTCCCCCCAAAAATAACAAATCCCTTGTTATTCTACACAGATACAGAATAACACGCATTGTGGGGAAATTTCCTCTCCCCCCAGTTTCATTTCCTATGCAGGTAAGGAAGATCTCATTATTCATATTGGTCTCAAACTGAAAAGAACAAATGCCTATTTTTAGTAGCTATAACTCTCTGAGATACCTCAGTCAGCAGGATGCTACCACAGGCCTGCATATAACCCACTTGTGGAACTTTTAGGAAATCAGTGGTCACTGCCTCGTGCAAGAGTGTAGGGTCATACATAATGCAACTCAGTTCCTGTAACACCCCCAGGCCATCAAAGCAGACAATCCCAAACATGGGAATGTCAAATTTATGTAAAAGACAGCATTTCCTAAACCTGTTCCCTTCTCTCTTCGAACTTCAGTGTAAACCTCACTTGGAATTCAAGAAGCGGCAGCATCCTATCACAATGGCCAGGGTGTGAAGTTGCATCCATCTGACAAAGTTTGGAAAAATCCCCCCCCCAGCCTGTCACCTAATCTAGCAGCCAAGTTGAGTGCATAGGGGTTGACATATGTGAGTGGGTTGGTCTGCATAACTGCCTCACAGATTTTGGGTACTGGCACATTCTGTAAGCAAGCCAAGGATGTTATTTGGGCTCTGGAAAATGCTGGGGACGTGGTATATCGGCCAGCAGGTAAGATAGGTGGGATGCAATGCATGATGTATTTTTACATCTGTAAAAAAAAAAAAAAAAAAAAAAAAAAAGGTCTGATTGTGGGTATGGTCTGGTATGAATTCACTGACAGCAGTCCAAGTTGTCTGCCTCTGTTCATGTACTCTGTGCTGCTTCTCCCTTCTGTGTGATGAACTCAGTCTGTCAGTGTAAGGGTGAATCAGAACCCAGCTTCTGGAATGATTGTTGTGGTTTGTCAGGAAAAAAAAGATGCTAGAGTGTCCTTAGAGAAATGATTTTAGGCATGGTTACCTGTCACTGGTGCTGCCACAATGGTGATGGCAGGAAACCACCAGCAGGACAGTGAAGTCTGCCCTTACCTCTGCTTAAGCTGTGCCCAGACTCAGAGCAAGACAGGGACCCGGTGCTTGGGCAGGTGATACCTAATCTGATGTGATATTTGCATATCCAAATGAATGAGGCAATGCTTAATTTAAGGGAGTTAAAACCACCTTTTAAGTACATGGTTGGAGGGATCATGAGTGGATCCCTAAATAACCTGGAGGATTTAGAAGAAGAGATTGGCTGTAAAAGCTGTGCTGCTCCTCCAGCAACATTTTCTTGTGCAAGCAACTTGAAATGTATGATTTGCAGAAAAGAATTCCTCATGAATTCCACCATGGAATCTTAATGATAAATTGGATCCATGTAGGCCAGATATCACTTTCTTAAATATTATTCTTTATATCTCCTATAAAAAATTGTAGTACTGTTATTTCAGACATTAGGAATAAATTTTACACCAGCATATTACTTCAACCTTGCTTAATTTAAACTGATTCATGGCACAAGGAAAAAGCAAAGTCTTCTTCACACCAGGTTGTGCTGAGTGTTTATACTGTAGCAGTGAGAGATATCAAGTGGCAAACCACTTGAATTACAAAAAGCACAGGTTCATCTTTAGATCCACTGGCTACAAGTCCTTTAACATAACTTTTAAACATTTCAGTGAATCAAAAGATAAAATTACCACATAAGTGGTAATATAAATAAAAAATAAATCTATGGATTTATGTTTTCTTCCTGAGGGACTTCTGTCTCTAATAACCAGCAATTTAAAAAAAAAAAATTACAGTGATTAAAGTACTTTGATTTGTGTCAAACAGAGCATAGAATAGAAATATCCTGCCTCTATAAAGCATTTTTACTTCACAATTTTGAAATAATTACATAAATATGTATGCAATGCCCAACATGTACGAAATGTGTAAGCATAGGTATAAAATATGCTTATTTTACATAACATAATATTGATATAATGGATGAGGTTCCTCAAATATTGAAAAGTGGCCATGCAGTTTCTTTTACAATTCAGAAATTGGAACATAGTACAAAAATCTACTTAATTAACAGCACCAAACAAAAGGTGCCAACCAGCTGAAGTGCCAGGAGAAATTCAGGTAGACAACATGACTAGCTGACCATGATGGTCGCTATATACATTCTTGCATGTATACGTGTGTGTGTGTGTGTATACTCTCACTATATATTCTTAAAATACTTTGACATCTTTAAAGCTGCATTCAGAAATCTGCTGGAATAATGAGAAGCCAATGCCTCTTAACTGCAGCATAACACTGGTTTACTGCTCACCTGTACAGTACTTCACTTGGGATATATCTCCAAAAAATGATCCAATAAAGGTCTTCCTTTAAAATGTTAACAAAAGACTAATTTGATTAGCCTGCAAGTTCTGATAAAACTATAAATAGAATATAAGACACAAATATTTTTGTGTAAAGCAATTATAGAAGAATTTAACAGAATTTTTGACTTTTTTACCAACATTTTAATTATTACCGAAAACCATATATGGAAAATCGTGGATGCTTATTCTTGATGGGAATTATATTCTATAATGTCCTCTCAAGATAATGGAAAAATATGCCACTTTTAAAATTTTCTTTAATGAAAGAACAGGACATTTTACATGGCATGTCAAAACACAAAGGTGGCCTGTGATACGAGAAGAATCTGCTGTGCGTACTGGCCAAGTATGTCACTGTGCTGTTTTTCATCACCTGGGTCAGAAAAAGGGTATACGAACATGGTCAGTGACTCATTTATTCTAGGATTTCCTAGTCTTCCATATGTCAACTAAACCCCAGTCAAGACTGTTCACCTCTGACATTAACTTTGCTAATCTTAGCAGCTATGAGTATGCTTACACTCTGTATATAAAAACTACTTGAGTAATTAAGGAAATGTTGGGGAAATATTTTGGTCTACTAATTTTAAAACACTATGGACAATAAATTAGCTAATTAGCAGAAACTTATGACAGATTATGTCAGACTTTTGTTTTCCAGAAATCTACTCAAAATAAGAAATTAGTTCTGGCTATACCTCAGGTTCCCATTCTGCAAAATGGGGATTCTGCTACTGACTCCAAAGCACAACTCTGGATGGAAAGCATGCTATCAGACACAGAACTAATAATATTAGTAATAGCAGTTTATTGCTGCTATTATGATAATTGCTATTTCAATTATGTATATTAGACATGTGCTATTATTCATCATTGATAATTTTCATATTCTGGGTGGAATTAAAGTGGAATCAAGACCAAACTACTGTACTTTAAGAATACCCACAAATTGTCCAGGTGACATCTGGCTGCAGTTAATAAGAGGCAATAGTGCAAGTCCACACCTTAGATACGCTGCACAAAGTGCAGAGAGCAGATTTGGCATCCATACCCTTTGAACCTGTAGGCTATGTATCCTCAGCTCCAAATCTGGCTGACTTGCTGTCAGACAAGTTGACCTGAAGCAAATGACCAAAACCAGAGTAACTAAATTTGGGTCTCTGACAGAGCAGTGTAGCTGCCAGGGACACGCAGTTTCCATGAATGGGCTCGCGGCTGCCAGGTCTCAGTGATGCAAGAGTTTCTTTCTGAAGACCCAAAATGCGGAAGACTTTCTCTAAGCATGCATGCACACATTTGTGAGGAAAAAAAGGTATCAGTGTGATTTTTAGACAAATAAGGGCACAAGATTGGTTTCAGCATCAAGTAAAGTGCAAGCTCTCCCAAAAGGTTATCCCTCTGCTGAGATGTCACAGCCAGATTCTCTGGTGTACTGTACTGAGAGAGTTTGTACTTCAGCTTCGTAATTTCCATTGTGAGGGGGTTTGAGAGGTTGTTTTTTCTTTACACAGCTTACAACTTATTATGTGAGCCTTTAAGAAACATAGCTCATCACTACTCATTTCTCTTGTGGAGGGAAAGAAAAAAAAGAGGTGTGTATTTGAATGAAAAAAAATTTTCTTTCTTTGTGATAGAAGGATATCAGAGGAGGAGAACCTGATATGTTACAAATCCTGTCCAGCTAATTATAAGAGTGTAATTTGTAGTTCTATGGTAAAATAACGAATTGAAGCTCATCCTTCAAAATACAGTGACAAAAATCCACCTTCATGTAGAACTTAATTCTTTCTAGTTTTAATAATATTGCCTGTGACTCTTTCCTTTCTTGCTTTACTTACTATTGCTACTGAAAGTGTTAATTTTCTATAAATCTAATTGTTTACCTGTGGCTTCTTCTAGTGTGGCAACGTCTAGTCTGGGGCTGTAATTTCCATAACCGGCAGCAGTAAAAGCACGAATCTGGAAAACATACACTGTTCCTGGCTTTAGGTTATTAATAGAAGCTGAAGTGGACTTGGTTTTCACTGTTGAATAGGTCCTCTCCCTTTGATCCTGGAAACAATAAGACAAAAGATTAAATGACATTTACAGGTCAGATTTTATCATGGTTGCACATCAGCAACTGACAGCCAGCCTGGGTAGTTTATTTCAATTTGTTGAATGCTTTTTTCCCCACATAAAAAATAAAGTGTACTCTGTGGAGTATTGCAAAGCACTGTCAATGCAATGAGGAGCTCTAAGTGTAACATAAAATTCAAATGGGATGCTCATGTTGTTACTCATAAAACATCCAGACATAAAATGATTGCTTCTTTGGCTCTGATTACATTTTGTGCAATTTTGATGAGAAAATAGCTTGACCACAGCTTTTCAGGGGGATCTGCGTCATCTAAACAGTTCAAGGACATGAAAATCTGTTCTTGATGGCCAGAACACCTTCCCTTGTTACCTTCCAATACCTTTAAAAAATACAGTACTGCCAATGTATAAGTGGCTGGATTTTGCACCAAGTTCTGAGGCCCTTAACTCAGTTTTCTCTTAGTTCTTTTTTTTTCTCTGGCTTTTAGTCTCTTCTCAGGGTTTTAGTCTATGGCATCAAGAAGAACCCAGGGTAAGAAGCTCAGTATGACACCCCCCAAATTTGAAGCTGTAAGATTACAAGCCCTGTGAGTAATAATTCACTTTCAAATACTACAAAAGCTGTATCACAGATCATTAGAGTATTCAAAAAGCTCTAGTTATTCATCACATTTACTGATCCAGATTATCTTTCAGCATAGATATGTGCAGCCCTGTTGATTTTCGATGGCAGATGCAACCCTGATTTGAAGGGCAGAAGAGATGAATTAACCAACCATCTGAATGCACCACATGACCAGAGAAGCATGAGCCATACGAGGCAGTGCTAATGAGACAGATACAGAGGGAAGGAATAAATCTGTAACTCATTTCAATAGCACTTTGCCAGCTAAAAATGATGGAGAACCTTCCCCTTTGCAGGCAGTAAAGCAGCAGAGGCTTCTGCTGAAATACAGGGTTAAATACAACATATATGATTTCTTTTCTGAGATTCAGTAATGGCTTCTCCTGGGTCTTGCCCAGTCTGTCATTTGAGCACGCCTGTTGGCTCAGCTAGCAACAGTTTTTCATGTCTTCTCCAAGAGGGTTTAAATCATCTGTAAGTGAGGACCATGGTGGAATGTGTGTCGGTATGTGAGAAAGAACAGGAATGCTTGAGAGATGAGAAACAAGTGTAAGGAAATTGTAAACAGCCAGGTTCGGGACTGTAAACCACAGTGGAATTTTCAGAGTTTGGGTTTTGATGCATAAATGAGGCTTATTTCAATTGCCAACAGTTCTTGCATTCAAAATAAATAAATAACAAAGAAATAAAAATAACCTGCACTAGAAATCTCACAGGACAGGCTTACTTGGGAGATTTCAGGCAGTTTCCATTCCAGCCCTAGCCAGAAGTGAGAAGTGAAAAAAACACTTATCAGAATATTTCAGAACCACACAAATGTTTGATTTAATTTGGCTCTAAAAGGAGATGAAACTTCAGATCTTTTTTTTTTCCCTTTTAAGCTAATGAGACAAAACTTAAACTGCCTCTCTCGTTCTAAGCAAGAAACTTATGAAATACTTTTCAAGCTTAACTGCATTATTTTGGAAGGAAGGCATGCATTTAAGTATTTGTGTTAAAATTGTCTCACTGAATTAAAGTGACTGTTCATAGGATAAGCTTCTTATTCTCTTATTAATTTCACTGTAATAAATATAATACTGGTAGGTTTCTTTCTGTTGCAAAAGAAGTTTAACATCAGTTCTTGTCTTTGCAAACTTAGGAAACTGGCAATGAAATTCTGCTGGTTATTTAAAGTGACATGAATACATAGGTAAAATAATAAAAGCTACATTCTAAAAGTTGTAATTTTATGAAAAGTCTAGTATCTTGAGCATTTTTCTGCCATTTTCCACTATCTATTTAAATAATTTATTTCATTTTAACAGATTAGAAAGTACTCTGCATATAAAAAGGAAAAAGTATTTTGGTTTGTAGTTTGGGGGTTTAAGCGTGTTTTTTGTGTGTGTGGAGACAGTTTTGCCTTCAGTAAATATGTAAACTTTTTTTTAAAATGTATAAAATTTATTTGTGTGTGTGTGCACACACATGCTTGAGGAAGAAAACTATCTGCTAAAATTAGTAAAATTGCTCTACAAAAATTGTTTAGCTATCTGTACATATCTGGTAAATTTCATTTTAAGAGGCATTAAATTGAACAACTTAAACTGGGAGTTAGCATCAACAAATAAACATTTTATTCCCTTCCCAAATCATATAAAGATCTTTTGATAAGTATATTGGTGTAATTCAGCACTAAAAATTAAATGTGACACTTGCTATTAGATCCAATCTGCTCTGAATTTACCTAATTCCATGTTATCTACTAAACTGGCACACTCTTTTTGATATAGAGGTGCTATGACGTTGTTTGCAGAGATAAAATGTCTTCACAAGTGATCACAAAGGAACTCCTTTGTTAATTTTTTTGCATTTTAGTTATTTCTTTTTTTTCTCCCAAAATGTTTTATAAGGAATAGGAATATGGTACATGCTACAGTAAATTTTCCAGGGAATCTAGGGGAGCCACACTTAGACTGAGTCTGATGACAAACATGTAGCTGCACAACCTGCCTTCACTCTGCTTTCATCCAGCTTACGGTTGCATGTGGCCCTACTTATATGCTTGTCAGAATTTTTTTATTCTGGAGTACTTCAAAGTTATCATGAATGAAGCCCTAGACACACTGAAATGTATGGCAAAACTCCGACTGACATCAATAAGACTGCGATTTCATTCTACCAGAAACAGAATTCACTTCATCTACTATTGAAAAGCAGCCCTCAATTCATTATTGTGTTGAGAGAACAAGTGAAAAATAAATCTCACAATACCAGGACTTTTTAAAAGGACAAATAAGGAATATTTATCAGCTGAAACTGTAGGAAGTGTTTTGGAAGTTTTCAGACATCAAGTCGAAGCCGCCCAGCTCATAAGGAAATACCAAATGCAGTCAAGAGTTGTATTTGATATATCATCTTGAGACTGGAATTACAGTGGAAATGAATTACAGAAGGAAATAAAATAAGCTTTTATACACAATGTAGAAGAGACAGGAAAATGGCAAATATAATGGTAAAATATCCAAGTCCTAATTAACAATTGAAAAAAAAAGTGGCAAAAAAGGCAGATTTCAAGTGGATATTTAATTTTTAAGATACCAAAATACAATATATGTGGCACATGATAGCAATAAATAATTGCAGGGATTTGCTAGTTATTAAAAACGCGCAAAATCACTGTGACTTTAAAGAGACAGCATAGTTGATAGCTGATGGCTTTAACATTTTTCCAGAACACAGCAAGCCAACATGAAGAAAACAGCACATTGTTGTACAGTACAGATAATCTTAGCACTTACTTTCTCATAATACTTGATTTCATATTCAGTAATGACTCCATTGGGATGCTCTGGTTCCTGCCAGGAAAGCTCCACGCTCCTCTGCAGCACTCTCTCTTTCATTACTCCACTAACTTGCGAGGGAGCTGTTTGGACAAGATGTGTCAATAAATAAAAAGCAAATTTGTTGGATGCCTAAAATCAAATGTCATTACTGATCTGCCCCATGCTGAGCCACTTTCATTAAGGTAAAAGAAAGCACCTTTTCATAGCTCACAATTCAAAGCTAATGAATATTCAAGCAGGACCCTATTACTGTTCATAAACATAGAATGGAAATCGAATTAAGTGCAAACAGCAAAAAGTAGCATTGTTCAAGTTAGTGCAAACCTGAGATCGATGGGATAGGAATAACAATTAAGCAAATTCATTTTGATTAAGATAGCAAGGTAGATTTTTAGATTGATGTATAGTACATTAAGAGTCCAAATATTTATTGCATATGTTTCTGAAATGCACATAAAAGGAAAAATAATGTTTTAGAAACAAAATCACATTTTAGGCTGATTTCACATAACTGATTCCAACTCTACTTAAAAAATAATCTGTCGCACTCTGATTACAGCATGACTTGATGATGAAAACAACTTTGTTAGGAGCCTAACCTCCCTCTTTTTCAATAGTTCAAAACTTTCCAGACATTTTGTTTTTAGAGCTGAAGTTTCCGTATTTGGTCTTGGCATTTTTTGAAAGTGTGAGAAAATTTAAGAAGTAGATCTTATGAAATAAAGGTAATGCTGTCTTCCTCCACCTCACTTTACAGAGACATGCATATGTGCACATTTGCACACGTGCACACATACACACAGTTTCCTAATAAACATCACCCACAAACAAGAACCTTTTGAAATTAAAAAAACCCCAATAATGTACAAGCATTATAGAGCCCCTGACTCTCATTTAAAAATGTTTAAGAGATAATGTAATAGAATGTGAGAAACTGAAAAAGTAACTTGCTTTATCAGCTTATCTTATGTTTATCAAAAAATGAAAGACAGATTTTCTGCTGACGTGCAGTTCCAAAGGAGGCCCAACATCACACTTTTCCACAAATGTACGTACTGCCTATATGAATGTTGCACAGACACAGTCTTGTATAGACATAGCTCTTCAAAAAACAACTATCACATTGGAACCGTACAGAACTCGATCTTGTTCTCTTTCAATTCAATCGAAATAATTCAAGGGTTTAACACTGCTCATGCAAAAGACAGATAAAGGGAGGACTTGATCCTCAGCCCCCTGCAGTTAAAAGCAAAATGACATTTACATGTACAGGAACTTGGTCAATATTTGGCAAGTGGATTCAGACACGGGAAAGAAAATGAAAATTAGACATAAATTTATTTATATATTTTCAAGTATAGAATCTAGTACTGATTCTATACTTGAATGTTTGTTTGAACAAAAATTCTGAAAAATTTAAATCTTTTTCTAGGTAAAAAAAGAACCACCTTATTTCAGAACTGTATATAAAGCCTTCCCTATGTAAAATGATGTATTCTTCAGATAAAACAGGATTCTTATCCCATGCAACAAACAGGCTTCACGTTCTCTTCCACCATTCACCTTAAGTCTAATTACAATAATTCCCATTCTAATATTCTTCAGCACACACACTTTCTTCTATCTAATTTATAGAACATAGAAATAAAACATATAGAATTCACAGTCCTGTAGTATTAAGGATAAAAATATAATGATAAAGTAAAAAGTACCACAGCACAATCAAGACAATAATCCTCTAAAAAACTCAAAATTTGATCATTAACTTCTTATTTTAATTATGAAGTTTCTAGCCTTTTTTATTATAACATGTATATTCATGTAGGTTTTTAAATTAAATTTATTTACATTTCATTAGAGGCTCCAAGAGTCCATGAAAATTAAGGATTGAAGCCATGCATGATAATGTTCATTATGAACTATTATGCTGTATATAATCAATGTAATCAAAGTTGAAGACCCCTTAATGTAGCCTGCCTAACTGATAAAATCACAAAATTGTATCATGCAAATACCATGGTTTGAGACACCATTCCAAAGCCAGGATCTCTCTCTTTTGCTCTTCTTTCATTCTCTTTCTAAAAGCTTAGAGTATTTTCACTCTCTAATTAGTAAAATATATTCTTTTTTGTAGCTAAGAGTCTGGAATGCAGCAAACTAATTTACTCTGTCTAGTTTTCTTTGCCGTGATTAACTAGTTGTCTTCTTTGTCTAAATGAGTATCCTGGCTGAATTTCAGAGAGGTCATTATGTTTCATGTATAATGTTCTATCTCATCCAGATAAATGTTTTCAAATTGGTAATTTTACATTTTCAGATGTCCAAAATTGTTAATGTTCATACTCATAATGAAACAATTTTATATTACCTAGGTCACTGGTGTTTGTTCTCAAGATTTGCAGCCTTTTGTTTTAGCTTATCAAATTTTTTCATTCCGTTGGTCATAGCATTCATTTTTTTTAAGCAGTGAAGCAAAATGAACTCACTTCCTCTGGTATTAGTTAACTCCGCGTAAGTGGGGAAAGAACAGTAACGCAGAGAGGGGGGAACAGAGAAGGGGGAAGATTTTAATCGGGGAAGTGGAATATACTATGTGAGATTCCTGCTTAACATCTGTACAAAGCATACCACAAACAGGCATATTCCATTCTTAAAGAATTTCCATTCAAAACAAAATCTCAGTGATTTATCAACATTGCAAGATGGCATTCAAAACTCTTAAAGAAATGCACTCTTAAATATATTTCCAGTCAATTAATATTATTTTTATTCAAGAATGATCAGATTAAAAGCTGGTTTGGGTTTTTTTGGTTGTTTTGGCTTTTTTTTTTTTCTTTTCATCCTAACTAAAAACCTTGTGCTACTTTCAGTTGGTAGAAGAACCACATGAGGAAGAAGGGAAAATCCAACCCCACAGACTGGATATGTTGGTAGCTCTGAAGACACTTATGTTGTATATAATTCCCATACCACATGATATTCCTAAACCACAGTAAGTTACCTAAGCTTATTTTGTGTTCCCACATTTGTCAGGGGAAGAAGGGGATCATCAGATTGGTTGAAGCCAGAGCATCCTCCTCTGGCAAGGTACACCAGTGTTGTTACTGCAGGAAAATCCCTGTAAACTAGAGCAACCACATAAGCCAGTCTATTGACATGAGAAGCTAGATGGATATGCTATCTTTGTCCTGCCTTTTGGGTTGCATTTCTTGATCTGTGCTTAATGAGAGTGTACAGGTCAGAAGCATTTTGTTCTTTATTCTGGCATAATCATTTCCTCTATATCATCTCTGTGCCTTTCTTACAGACTTGTTTTGTTTTCATGTTTTATTTGTTCTGGCTTCCTGACACCTTGGTTTAAACTGTTAGGCCATTTATCATTGCCTACCCTTGTTAATTAATTAACAACCTATTTATGGTTTTGAAAAAAACTGTGTTTGAGCAAGCTTGAAAATGAGTCAAAGCATAAAATCAATCCCTAAATACAAGATACAATATGCTATTAAATCACAAAAAAGATAACTTTATAAAAACAGAATTTAAAATATAATTTTTATTCCCATTGGCAGCTAAACCAAAAATAATAATAATAATAATAATAATAATAACTGGTTTGAATAATTTTTTTTCTTTTAGTAACCTAGCTCTTGCCACTGCATTTATAACAAAGTTATTCATGATGAAGACACTTCTTGCAGCATTTCTAGACAACTAAGTACCCAGTCCTGAATGACTTGAGCAGGCGTAATCCCTACTGTATCACTCCAGGTTACAAAGAAGCATCACTTGTCAGAATCATTATTTCCATAATATATTACACTGGGGAATACAGGCTGTTCAAAACACCATTTGCTATCAACTTTCTTTCTGATATACCTCATCAAAAACTGCTGACACAACATCCAATGCATCAAACACACACAGCCTCTCAGGGCTAACAGGCAGATGTACCTACACATGCTGCATAAGAACGCACTTCGAGAATGACAGGCCCTCAGCACACTCATTCACCTTTTTTAAATGCTTCAAATATACCATTCAGCAAAAGGAAAAATTGATTTTTCACCAGGTTTCAACATCACAGCCACAGAGAAATATAACTCTGCTGGGCTTTACTGATAAAGCCTTCAAGTTATATAGATTTCAAGCTGGTCATCATTTTCAGATCAAGTTATAGAAAAAGTTAAAACTGAGGTGTCAAAACCAGCAGGATATTCTAAGCAAATATTCTGCTCCAGAGAGAATATTGCATCTGGTAGACTGATGTGTTACATCTATACCGCTAAGCCAAGCATATGGTATATTATTAATATGTGCAAATATTTATGTACAGAAAACAGCACTGCTTGTTTTGGAAGGCATTGCTTTTAGTCCAGAGTAGTCTGCAAAAGTTATAACATAATATGCCTTTAATTTCTACGCTTAGCTATTCTCTGGTCCTCATGCCTGACATTTCCCTTGATCCACAGTGTACTTTTCAAAAGACAAAGACAGATGCAAAATTAAATCTTTTGCACTTTGTATCAGAAAAAATATAAACACCCAAAAGTACAAAATACTAGAACAAAAGAATAAAAACTGAAAAATTAAAACATGCAAAGCTGAACTTTCATATATAAGTGGAACTAGGCATAATGCACCTGTTGCTAGCACAAAATCAACTGTAACACCATTTTATTGAAAAAAAAGATAACTCTGCAAAATAAACATACCTAGCCATTTCTCTGAGATTTCTTAAAGTTCTGCATCTTGAGTTTGTCTCAACTCCATCAACAGCATCAGCCATGGAGACCTTAATTTGATACTTAAAGTCTCCCTACAAGCAGCACTCTGTGTGTTTAGTAGTTCATGTGTATAAAATAAACTATTAAAAATCCTCAGAAATAAAGGTTTGAATTCTGCAGTCCCACTTCATGTAGACAGTTTCACACATGAACATGAGTAAATGCTCCCAGTGCAGTACCAAACTCCGTATCAATAAATGCTATCAAATCTGTGTTTGGAACTTCAGTTTCATCATTTGTTATACAAAGACTAATGCATGAATCAGCCTTCCTTAACTATTTTTTTCATATTTCTT